GTGGCGCTGCTGCTGGTACAGAGGACTCGGACGTTGGAGCTGCTGCTGGAGCTGAGGACCCGAGCGGTGGCGCTGCTGCTGCTGCTGAGGACCCGGGCGTTGGAGCTGCTACTGGTGCTGCGGACCCGACTGGTGGCGCTGCTACTGGTGCTGAGGACCCGACCGGTGACGCTGCTGCTGGTGCTGCGGACCAGGGCGTTGGAGCTACTGCTGGTACTGAGGACTCGGGTGTTGGAGCTACTGCTGGTGCTGAGGACTTGGGCGCTGGGGCTGCCGCTGGTGTCCCTGCTGCTTCTGGAGACGCTGCGCGGCCGCGACCGTACTTCGTCCCGCTCCTTCAGCAGGTTCTTGGTCAGGCTCCTCCTCCTGGTCCTCCTCCCTCCGTCGAGGGTCCTCTACCTGTCCAGCCGCAGTCACAGTTACCGCCCGCCTCGCCTCTCCCTGCTCCCTCTCCTTACACTGGTCCCACAGGAGGTCTTACAGAGCGTCGTGAGCCTGAGTCTCGTCCTGCGTCGCCTGTTCGTACCGCTCGCACTGGTCGTCGTGTCCCACGTGAGCGTCCTCCTCCTGTCCCTGGCACTCACTACATGACTCTGCGTCCCTCCACTGCTCCGCAGCGTGTCCCGCTGCCGTCTCCTCCTGCGTCCTCTCTACCTACTCTTCCTGACCCGGAGTCTGACGCCCGTCGTGCTGCCAGTCCCACTGTTACGCGTCTCCTTGCTACCGTTGTCACTGACCCTTCTTTTGAGTCCGCCGCTGCGTCTGCTCTGGTCGCTGAGTTAGTTGACTTTGCTGCTTGCTGTCGCCTAGACTACGCTGCTAGCCTAGTGGCTGAGTCTGAGTCTGAGTCTGCCTGTCCTCCGTCCGTCGGGGGTGCGTGTGCTCTTGGCACGGACGTCCTTGAGGACAGACAGGAGGAGTTCCATTGCTTTGCTGCTGCTTTGCCCCATCTCGTGTCCATGCTAGTTGCCCCTGAGGGAGACCCGGATGCACCAGACATCCCGACCCCGCGCACTTACGCTGAGGCGATGGCGGGTCCCTACTCCTCTCAGTGGCAGACAGCCATGGACGCAGAGATGGCTTCCTGGAAGTCCACACGCACCTACGTCGACGACGTCCCCCCTCCTGGGGCGAACATCGTCAGTGGCATGTGGATTTTCAGGGTGAAGCGGCCGCCGGGTTCTCCGCCTGTCTTCAAGGCGCGCTACGTGGCTCGAGGCTTCAGTCAGCGAGAGGGAGTAGACTTCTTCCAGACCTTCTCCCCCACCCCGAAGATGACCACTCTTCGGGTGCTGCTACACATAGCCGCTCAGCACGACTACGAGCTTCACTCACTTGACTTCAGCACTGCTTTCTTGCAGGGCAGCCTGCACGAGGAGATCTGGCTGCGCCGCCCTCCTGGCTTCACTGGGCCGGTTCCTCCTGGCACCCAGTGGAGGCTTCAGCGGCCGGTCTACGGTCTCCGCCAGGCACCACGTGAGTGGCACGACACACTAAGGACGACACTTGCGACTCTTGGGTTCGCACCTTCTACAGCTGACCCGTCGCTGTTCTTGCGCACCGACACTTCGCTGCCGCCGTTCTACATCCTCGTGTACGTCGACGACTTGGTCTTTGCCACTGCTGACACTGCAGGACTCGCCTACGTGAAGTCGGAGCTGCAGAGGAGACACACGTGTACAGACCTGGGTGAACTGACAAGCTATCTTGGCTTGCGGATCACCCGGGACAGAGCACGGCGCACCATCACCCTGACTCAGTCGCACATGGTGCAGCAGGTTCTCCAGCGCTTCCGCTTCACGTACTCCTCGCCTCAGTCCACTCCTATGGCTACCGGTCACTCGCTCTCAGCTCTGCCTTCGGATGAGTCCGTAGAGTCGAGTGGCCCGTACCCAGAGCTTGTGGGCTGCCTCATGTACCTGATGACCTGCACTCGACCTGACCTTGCATACCCTCTTAGCATCCTTGCACGCTATGTCGCTCCTGGCCGTCACAGGAAGGAGCACATGGATGCCGCTAAGAGGGTGTTGCGCTACTTGTGCAGTACGTCGGGCATGGGGCTTGTGCTTGGAGGGCGAGACCGAGTTGTTCTCACAGGGCACTCAGACGCTTCTTGGGCAGACGACCAGGCCACTCAGCGGTCGTCTCAGGGTTACTCCTTCAGCCTTGGCTCTGGCTCAGTTTCTTGGCGCTCTACACGCTCTTCTTCTGTTCTCAGCTCCAGTTGCGAGGCTGAGATCTACGCCACAGCCATGGCTGCCCAGGAGCTACGCTGGCTGACCTACCTGCTGACCGACCTTGGGGAGCGGCCTCGTTCTCCTCCAGTGCTGTACGTCGACAACCAGGCAGCCATTGCCCTGTGTGAGGAGCACAGACTGGAGCACAGAACGAAGCACATCGCTCTGCGGTACTTCCTTGCTCGAGAGCTGCAGCAGCGAGGTCAGCTTCGTCTGCGTTACGTGGCCACCGAGGCCAACCTTGCTGATGTGTTCACCAAGGCACTTCCGCCTGTTGACCATCAGCGCTTTTGTACTCTTCTGGGCCTTGTGCCTACTGGACCTCACTTGCTCACTTCTTGACCTTGCTTATACTGTGATCATTATATATATATGCCTGCATGTCTACTCTTGCTAGGTTGTGATCATTGTATATCATGATCTGTTATAAACTTGCATGTGAACTGGGCTTGTGACCGCTAGTTTGTGCTCGGAATTTGTGTGGAACCCTTGAGGTCCACCCTGAGCTTGTTGTTGCCTTGCTTTGCCTTGACTGGTCTTGTGACCCCTAGGTCTTCCCCACTTTGCCTATGGGGGTGTGTCAAACATTATATGTTTATATTGTTCTAGGCTGTAGTGGGTGATACCTTAGGGGGTATACCAGGTTAGGGTTTCATATTTGTACTGTTGTTCCTGTTAGTCACACCATTCCTGCTCAGTTATTTCTGACAGCCCGTGTGTCTGCAGCTTCAGTCGGCGCCTTTCATCTTCTCGCCCTCACAGTTTCTCCTCCTCCTCACTTGCCCTCTATGATCACCTCTAGCTTTGCTTATAATTGTGAACTATTGCTATGCCTGCTCATTGTACTGATTACACCCCACTTTGGCTATGGGGGTGTGTCAGAATGTTATTATTGTCTAGCCTGTAGTGGGGTGCTCTATAGCGAGTACAACCCAGTTAGGGTTTGCTATATGTACCCCAACTGCTGCTAGTGAAACCCCTCTCCTTTCAATCATTCTTGCCTAGTCTTTTTGACAGTCCGGGGCCCTTACTCCGGTAACAACTGAGCCAGCCGCTCTTGTGGCCCGTGTGTCTGCAGCTTCAGCAGTCGCCTCCCATCTCTTCTCCTCTCACAGTCACTCCTCCTCCTCACTTGCCCTGTGTGACTGCCTCTAGCTTTGCTTGAACTTGTGAACCTGCTTTGTGACTGCGTGCTATGCTGATTATACCCCACTTTGACTATGGGGGTGTGTCAGAATATAATGCTTGTCTAGTCTGTAGTGGGGTACTCAATAGTGAGTAAACCCTTTTAGGGCTTGCTATTTGTACCTCCCTTCTTTCTAGTCAAACCCCTTTTTTTTGCCTAATTCTCTTGCCTAGCTAGGTAAACCCTAGCTATGGCTCCTTGTTCTAGCTACTATTCTCACAAATGCACCAGCAGGTTCAACCAGCGGCGCTTATTTCCCCGTAATCCACATCCCAGAATGAGATCATTCTGCAATGCACACCGTGCCTGCGGCATGGCCTAGTAGTACCGTGACTGAATTCAACAGTACTCGGTCCAGCAGCTGCTGTGCTGTGCCGCGCATTACAGGCTAGTCAGCTCACACACAACCTCCTAACTTGCCATAGTAACTGGAACCACTGCCAGCCGCCACATCTGACCTCACACCACCGCACTTCACCCCCATCAACAGGAGCCCCACCCCACCACTCCAGCAGACGCATCAGGCACAGCAGCATCAACTGAAGAGAGGGCTCCACATTTGCAACCACATCACCCGGTGCAACTGAAGGGTCAATAGCCAGCCACATGCACATTTGAGTCGATTCAAAAGCCAATAGCCACATGCACGCACATCGACCTGCGGTACCCAATTAGCCGGCACTGTCGGCACCTGACCTGGAACTTGTTCAGCAGCATCAGGGGCTAACACTGCCCTCTCCTCCGCCTCCCCCCTTTATCCTCCCTCTCATCTCCTGCACCTCCTCTCCTCTCCTCTCCTGCACCCCCTCTCCTCTTCCTGGACTTCCCTCACTAGTGTACCAGAAAGCGTCACAGGCCGTGAAAAAACTCTCCGAAAAACGCGCACTTCTTCACTCCACATTCACATCCCCCCCCCCCCCCCCCCTCCCCACCCACACACACAACTTCAGCAGTGTGCAGCCCTCCAGCAGCAGCATCAGCCCCAGCGGCAGCAGCCTAAAAGAGGGACACATCAGAGTCGCCAAAGGTCGTGAGGAAGGTCCGAGAGCGAGACCCAGCCATGTTATGTTCCCCTCAACTACGGTCACTTTCATCACCTCAACTAGCCGTCACTTTCAACACCTCAACTAGCCGTCACTTGCAGCACCTCAACTAGCCGTCACTTTCATCACCTCAACTAGCCGTCACTTTCATCACCTCAACTAGCCGTCACTTTCATCACCTCAACTAGCCATCACTTTCATCACCTCAACTAGCCGTCACTTTCATCACCTCAACTAGCCGTCACTTTCATCACCTCAACTAGCCGTCACTTTCATCACCTCAACTAGCCGTCACTTTCATCACCTCAACTAGCCGTCACTTTCATCACCTCAACTAGCCGTCACTTTCATCACCTCAACTAGCCGTCACTTTCATCACCTCAACTAGCCGTCACTTTCATCACCTCAACTAGCCGTCACTTTAATCACCTCAACTAGCCGTCACTTTCATCACCTCAACTAGCCGTCACTTTCATCACCTCAACTAGCCGTCACTTTCATCACCTCAACTAGCCGTCACTTTCATCACCTCAACTAGCCGTCACTTGCAGCCCCAGCGGCAGCAACATCCCCCCCAGCAGCGCCAGGAGAGGCGCCGGCAGCTGCAGAGGTGCCAAAGGTGCGCACGAAGGTGCGGGAGATGTCAGCGTAGAGATCCACTACCTGTAGGATTTGCATGTGGGAGGAGACAGAGCAGGAAGGGAAAAGAGGGTAGGAAGCAGCATTGGCACTCATGACGAGCAGCGGCGGAGCTGCCAGAGGTGTGCACGAAGGTGCGGGAGCATAGAGATCCACTACCTGGAAAATTGGGGGGGAGAGAAGACAGAGCGGGAGGGGCGGAAGGGGGAAAGTGGGAACGAATCTGAAAGTGAGCGCACATGACAAGAAGCAGTGGAGCTGCCAAAGAAGAGCTCGGAGGTGCGGGAGATGTCAGCGTAGAGTCCGCCGACCTCTAGCCACGTGATAAAAGTTGTGTTTTCAGACGTCTCAAAGCACAACTTTTATCACGTGTCAGCGTAGAGGTCGCCCACCTGTGGGGGGTGCACACACACGGGGCGGAGAAGGCAGATCGGGAGGGACGACGGAGAAAGGGGAAACGAATCTGTACGTGCGTGCATGAAACGAGCAGCAGTGGCGCTGCAAAAGGTGGGCATGAAAGTGAGGGAGGTGCCAGCGTAGAGATCCGCCATATGGGAGTCACTCAAGAGAAATCTCAAAACTGACTCCCAAATGTAGGGGTGCAATAGGGAGAGGAGCCAGAGCAAGCAAAAGAAGTGAGGAGGGAAGAAAGAAACGACGCTGCAGCAGAGCTGCCAAAGGTACGAATGAACGTGCGGGAGATGTGGGCGTATAGAGATGAACTTTGAGTAGACTCAACAGTCATGGCGCATGGGACTACCACCGGCAGAATAGGCACCAGGGTGGGGGTGGGGGGAGAAGACAGGGTGGGCGGGACAGGACGGAAGGAGGGAATGCGGAACAAATCGGTAAGTAAGGGAAGGCAAATATTGTAAGTGAACAAGTGAAAGCGTGAAAGCGGGTTACGAGTTCAAGCCCCACTTTGGTGACGTTAAAATTGAGCTGCCTAATGAGCGTCACGTTGCGCATGAGCCCATCTGGCATCTTCAGAAAATGACACAGTTCAAGCAGTCCACACACACACACACACACATACACACACACACACACGCACACACACACACACACACACACACACACACACACACACACACACACACACACACACAGACTCACACCATGGTAAGAAACACATCCCTACCTTGGTGACGTTGGAGTTGAGCTGACTTATGAGGGTCACGTTGCGCATGAGCCCATCCGGTACCCTCAAATGAGTAATGCACACGTTCAACATAGACACATACCTCTACCTTTATAAGCAACAGACTCCCACCTTGGTGACGTTGGAGTTGAGCTCTCTAATGAGCGTCACGTTGCGCATGAGCCCATCCGGTAGCCTCGCCTCGTGGTTCGCCTTGATCTCGTGTATCAGCAGCCGGTTCTGGTCCAGCAGCCCTTGCACCTGCGCGGGGAGGGGGAGGTAAGGGGGGGAAGGGGGGGGGGAGGGAGGAGAGGGATGTGCATAGTCGCCTGTTTGTTTATCCTGCGTGCATGCACCCATCCGGCAGCCTCGCCTTGTGGTTCGCCTTGATCTCATGTATCAGCAGCCGATTCTGGTCCAGCAGCCCTTGCACCTGGGAGTGGGGGAGGGGGGAGCGAGAAGGGGAAGGGGAGGTATGAGCGCAGTCGTCTCTCGATACAGAAGCCATTGTAACAGGCGAGCCTCGTGGTTCACCCTGATCTCGTGAATTAGCAGCGGCTGGTTTCGATCCAGCAGGCCTTGCGCCTTAACATGGTGGGGGAGGGGGAGATGAGCACATGCGCGTGTATGGATCTTCCAAGCCAATTGGCCACAACATGAATCTGCTTTTGAGTCGACGCCAAACGGCTGGCGTTGATTCAAGAGTCGCCTGCTTGATCTGGTCTCACTCGTCCAAGCATTCTGATTCCAACATGGATATGATATACCGATACCCCCCCCCCCCCCCCCCCCCCCCCCCCCCCCCCCCCCCCCCCCCTCCACCCCCCCCCTGGAAAGCATTGAAGAATCTGTCCTAACCCAATCACACCCCATCCCACCCCACGCCACTCCACCCCATCCCACCGCACCAGCCACCCGCCCCACCTGGTTGAACCGCTCAAAGCCGGGCCAAACTCGCGGGTCAAACAGCGGCTGGGCGGTCGACTGGGGCGGCAGAGGTTGCTGGGCGGCAGACTGAGGCGGCAGCGGCTGCTGGGCGGCGGACTGTGGAGGTAGCGACTGCTGGGCGGCCATCTGGTGGGCGGCGGAGGCTGTCCGTACGTGCTGCTGTGGCGACTGTGATTGGTCCATGGGCTCTAAATACGCAGCTGCTGTGCTCTCCTTACTTGTCTATATTTTATAAGCAAGAATGCCTTCTAACCTGAGGGGAACAGGGGAAGAAGGTGGGTGCGGGGGGGAGGAAGGAGGAGGTGAGGTGTAGGGGAAATTATTAGACAAGTGGGAAGGGGTACGGGGTGTGTTTTACACTACAATAACTGATCGACACGTGGCACGACGCCCTGTCGGCACTATCACACGGCCACAGCTAATCTACACCGTCCAGAAACCGCAATCACGGAGGGCTGGAAGGAGAGACTCACCGCAGGCCACGGCTGGCGGATGGAAACCCTAGAAGGTGCTACTACAGCAGACTGACGAGCCCTAACGTGGTCAATGACAGAACCACGGCAGACGAAACCCTAGAATGGTACTAAGCCATGATGAGACGTTAAAAAAAATCACGTGACGGTCTAGTGAGGCTCGTACCACGCTTAGGAAGAGCCGCGCTACGCTCCCCGCAAGCTAGGCTTCAGTTAAATCAACCCCGCATGGCCCGTACCGACCTGCACACATCTCCGCGCGCATTCAGAATTCGCCGCGTCGCCCCCCGAAGCCAGTTGCTGCCTAAGTGTCTAACGATTCGTGCCGCGCGCAGGGAGCTCAGACCGGTAGATTTTGAAATAGTATTTCGAATCGCCTCAGGAGTGTGTTCGCTCCTACAACTATGGACTCGAGGTCTACACGTGCGACTTGGAGTTGACTGGACGGTTGACAAACGAGACTGGCGATTGATGAAAATATCTATGGCGACTCGAATTACTGTCGCAAATCGTTGAAGGTGGTAGAATTGGCTATGAAGCTACACCTAGAAACACAAGATTGCTGCTACAATAATGCGTTTCTAAAATGAAAAAATGTTGTTAGTTTCTAATGGAGCTTGGCTAGCTGGAAATTGCAACTTGCTTTCACTACACACCCTGTTCCTCAGTTTCAGGCGTTCAAAATAGTAACCAGGGTATGCACCTTCATATGATAACTGCAAGCGGGTGCTTCAAACAAGGGCCTGAATTCCGTTCTGACAATCAAAGCCCCAAAGCTACACCATTAGCAGATTGTTCAAGTACAAGCATCGTATCTCAGTAACACGACACAAAGTGCATGTACAGTACACCCAACAACCAAGTCAGCCACACGTTAATTTTCACTTCTTGCGCCTCCTCTTCTTGTCTCGGCTATCCTCACTCTCACTACTCTCGCTTTCGCTGCTCTCGCTCTCAGTCTCGCTCCCACTGTCACTCCCACTGTCCGACCCACTATCACTCTCACTCTCGCTATCACTCTCACTATCACTCTCGCTCTCGCTCTCACTCTCAGACACCTGAACAGGCTTCTGTTGCTGCATGATAAGCTTTGGCATGTTCTTCAGGTGTTCCCTCAGGTTGTCTGTCAGCCCTCCCAGACCGATAGAAGTGAAGAAGTTAATAGCGAAGCGCGTGTTCTTGGGCGTGTCTTTGGGGAAAATGCCGTCGAATGCCGCCCCCATGGTCGGGTCGCTGAGCCTCTCGTTCATCTTGCGCAGCCCCAGCTGCTCCGACATCTCCTGCTCGGAGGTGGGTTTCAGGAAGTAGAGGAAGAGGGAGAGAGGGGGAGGGGGGGAGGAGGGAGAAGGCAGGGGCAAGGTATTGAAGGAGAAAGAATGCGGGTGGGGGGTTGGGGGAACATGGGGAAAACAGGGAGGCACATGAATGGTCAGGTCGCTAAGCCTCTCATTCATTTTGAACAGCTTCTCCAAAATCTCCTGCTCAGGAGGGGTGCAGAGGGGAAGAGGGGACATTGTGAGGAGTTGTGGGGAAGGGGTGGCGGGGGAGGGGACAGCGCGCATGACATGACGGCATACCAGCGTGCTCCACAGCCTCAGCTGCTCTGGCTTCCGTGGTTCTAGAGACGGGGGGTGCAAGCAACGGGAGCGAGGGTACAAGGCAGGCATGGCATGGCGTCGGTGGCAAGGATACGTGCAAAGGGCCCCCTGCTCTGTGAGTGTTCTGTCATGCTGAAGAAAATCTCACCTAGGCACACGTCTGGACGTTTTGAAGCTTACCTGGAACATGGTTCTGATAAAGATGCGCGAGGATGCAAAGGTGTCTTCCTCAGTAAGTTGGATGTGAGAGAGACAGCAGCGCCCAGGGCATGGCGTCAGTGGCGAGGAAGTGGGCTAAGAGACTACTGTGGCACTTCCCTGTGAGTGCAGTGTCAGGTTAATCAGCGCGCACCTGGAACATGATTTTGATGAAAATGCGAGATGAGGAGGAGGTGTCCTCGTCCGTGAGGTGGATAGAAGACAGCAGCGCCCACAGCATGGCGTCAGTGGCGAGGAAGTGAGCGAAGAGAGAAAGCACCTGGAACATGTTCTTGATGAAGATACGCGAGGATGATGACGTGTCCTCTTCAGTGAGGCGGATGTAGGACAGCAGCGCCCACGGCATGGCGTCAATGGCGAGTAAGTGAGCAAAGAGCCCAGGGCCATAAGAGTGCAAATCAACGCTCACCTGGAACATGATCTTAATGAAAATGCGGGACGAGGAAGAGGTGTCCTCCTCAGTCAGTCGGATGTAGGAGAGCAGCGCCCACGGCATGGCGTCGGTGGCGAGGAAGTGGGCAAAGAGCTTGGCGACGTTGCGCAGCTTGTTGGTCTCGAGGCGGTGGATCATGCTGTACTGCTTCACAAAGCACTGCTCGAAGCACTCCTGGTAGGCACGGTTGAGCATGCTGGGGGGGAGGGGAGGAGTGGGGAGGGGTGAATGGTGGTTTGAGGCGGTGAATCATGCTGTACTGCTTCACAAAGAACTGCTCAAAGCACTCCTGGCAGAGACGGTTGAGCATTCTGGGAAAGGGAGCAGTGGGGTGGGGTGGATAGTGGTTGGAGGCGGTGAATCATGCTGTGCTGCTTGACGAAGCAGTGCTCGAAGCACGCGCAGTTCAGAATGCTGGGAAAGACAGGCAACTTGATGCAAGAGTGAGCAGTTGCGAAGCAGAGCATGGAGGCATGGCACGGCACGGCATGGCATGGCATGGCATGGCATGGCACGGCACGGCACGGCACGGCACGGCACGGCACGGCACGGCACGGCACGGCATGGCATGGCATGGCACGGCACGGCACGGCACGGCACGGCATGGCATGGCATGGCATGGCATAGCATGGCATCTAATAAAGTGCCATGGCATGCGAACATCACACCCAAACAATGCCGCCACTGCCACACCCACCCACCAGAACTGCTACTGCAGCAGGCCATCACCTGGAACAACCGCACCACACCCACCACCACCCCACCCACCAGAGCGCTGCTCCAATAGTCCGTGGAGGTGCAGGTAGGTGCGGTCAGTACCACCATCTTCGATTGTGTTCACCTGATACCATCACACCACCACACCCACCATCATCTCCTAGTACCGCACTCCACCCACCAGAAGCGCTGACCCAGCAGCCCATAATAGCGCAGGTAGGTGCGCTCCTGGGAGCAGCAGGCGAGCAGCATCTCACACAGCTCCATCTGCATGGGTGGGGGGGGAAGGAGGGGGGTGGGGGGCGGGGAGAAGGAGGTGTGAGGAGAGGAGATTGAGGGCCATCATGGGAGCAGCAGGCGAGCAGCATCTCACACAGCTCCATCTGCATGGGTGGCGGTAGAGGGAGGGTCGTGTGCGGAGGGAAGGAAGGGGTGTCGGGGGGAGGAGGGGATGATGAAGGATTCTACGGCAGGCCAAATGCTGTAAGGCTTGATAACATGTTTGCTATGAGAAGCACCTATAGGGTGATCAGCTGCATTGTCTTCATGAGCATCTGCAGCAGGGTTATCAGAGTCCGATAACCAATCGTTCCAGCAATGCGCGTGCAAGTCAAAAGTCATCAGCGATCGCAATTAATTACCCTCGTAAGGTCGCCCCGTCTGCAGGTTGACTTGCCCTTCATCAGCTTGTGCCCCTCCTCCTACACACATTAACCCCATGTCCTCAACTCACCTCTCATCCCCCACCCCCAACCCCCCCTTCTCACCTCCTGCCCCGGCTGCAGGTTGATTTTCATCAGCTTGTGCCCGGCCTCCTCAAAGTTGACGGACGCCATGATGGTCAGATAGATGGTGCGCCGCAGATTCACCCCCTTCTGCTGCCCGCCTAATGATATTCCCTCACTCTAAACCCCCACTTTCCACGCACACTGCCCCACTGGTCAAGCCCCTCAACCCCTCCCCTCCCATCCCTCCTTCCCCCCCCCCCCCCCCCCCCCTCCCCCTCACCTCCTGCCCCGGCTGCAGGTTGATTTTCATCAGCTTGTGCCCGGCCTCCTCAAAGTGTCCAAACCCCCACCCCTCCCATCATTCACCCCAATCCCTTTCCTCCATCGCTACAACCCCTCCCCTCCCCTCCAACTCCCCCCCCCTCACCTCCTGCCCCGGCTGCAGGTTGATCTTCATCAGCTTGTGCCCGGCCTCCTCAAAGTTGACCGAAGCCATGATGGTCAGTTAGATGGTGCGCCGCAGATCCACCCCCTTCTGCTGCCCGCCTGATGACATTCCCCCACTCTAAACCCCCACTTTCCACGCACACTGCTCCACTAGTCAAGCCCCTCAACCCATTCCCTCCCATCCCTCCCACCACCCCATCCCCCCCCCTCCCTCCCCCCCCCTCACCTCCTGCCCAGGCTGCAGGTTGACTTTCATCAGCTTGTGCCCGGCCTCCTCAAAATTAACCGAAGCCATGATGGTCAGATAGATGGTGCGCCGCAGATTCACACCCTTCTGCTGCCTGCCCATCAACCTCCTGAACTCGAACCTTCCTAGAATCAAACTCCCACTTTGCAAGCTCCAAGCCCCTCAACCCCTACCCTCCCCCTCCCCCCTCCCCCCTCACCTCCTGCCCCGGCTGCAGGTTTATCTTCATCAGCTTGTGCCCGGCCTCCCACGCCTCACTTCCAGTTCAAGGCCACCGCATCACCTGCCCCCCTTTCCCCCCTTTCCCTCACCTCTCACCCCCTAATCTGCCCTCACCTCCTGCCCCGGTTGCAGGTTGATCTTCATCAGTTTGTGCCCCGCCTCCTCAAAGTTGACCGAAGCCATGATGGTCAGGTAGATGGTGCGCCGCAGGTTCACCAGATTCGCCCTCTGCTGCTCCCTGCCTGCCTCATGATCTTCCCTCACTCAAAATTCCCGATTTCCACCCACACAACCCCCCTGCCCAGCCCTTAACCCCCTCCGTCCCCTCAACCACCCCCCCTCACCCTTCTCCTCACCTCCTGCCCGGGTTGCAGGTTGATTTTCATCAGTTTGTGCCCGGCCTCCTCAAAGTTGACCGAAGCCATGATGGTCAGGTAGATGGTGCGCCGCAGATCCACCCCCTTCTGCTGCCTGCCCATCAACCTCCTGAACTACCCTCACTCAAAATTCCCAATTTCCACCCACACTGCCCCCTTGCCCGGAACCTCACCCCCTCCCTTCCCTCAACCCCCCCCCCCCCCCCCCCCCCCCCCCTCACCTCCTGCCCCGGCTGCAGGTTGATCTTCATCAGCTTGTGCCCGGCCACACAACCCTCTGGCTAAGGGCCTCACCCTCCCATCCCTCACGTCAATCCCTGTCTTCCTTCCAACCATTCCCCTGTCCTCCTCACCCCTGGCTAAGGGCCTCGCCCCTCACCTCCTGCCCCGGCTGCAGGTTGATCTTCATCAGCTTGTGCCCGGCCTCCTCAAAGTGTCCCAGCCCCTCACTCCTCCCATCATTCACGTCAATCTCTGTCCTCCATCGCTACAACCCCTCCCCTCCCTCCCCCACCTCACCTCCTGCCCCGGCTGCAGGTTGACTTTCATCAGCTTGTGCCCGGCCTCCTCAAAGTTAACCGAAGCCATGATGGTCAGGTAGATGGTGCGACGCAGATTCACCCCCTTCTGCTGCCCGCCTGATAGCATTCCCCCACTCTAAACCCCCACTTTCCACGCACACTGCCCCTCCGGTCAAGCCCCTCAACCCATCCCCTCCCATCCCTCCCGCCACCCCTCTTCCCCACTTCCCCCCCTCACCTCCTGTCCCGGCTGCAGGTTGATTTTCATCAGCTTGTGCCCGGCCTCCTCAAAGTTGACCGAAGCCATGATGGTCAGGTAGATGGTGCGCCGCAGATTCACCAGGTTCGTCTCCGTCTCGTCGCGAATCTCCTGCTGCTTCGCCTGCTCCTCCTCGTCCTCCTCCTCCTCGCTGCTCTCCTCATCCTCCTCATCGTCGTCATCATCACCCCCCCCTTCGCCCTTCTCGTCCTCCTCCTCCTCCTCGTCCCCCAGGATCTCCGCTTTGATCTCCTTGTAGCGCTGCTCGTTTGCAAGGTAGTCGGGGTCAAATTTGAACACGTCTGGGAGGGGTTGGGAGATGGGCAGGGGGGGGAAGGGGGAGGGGGAAGGGGGAGGGGGAAGGGGAAGGGGGAGCGAATCTCGGCTTTGATCTGCTTGTAGCGCTGCTCGTTGGCCAGATAGTCCGAGGGGGGAGGGGGGAAGGGGGGAGGGGGGAGGGGGGAGGGGGGATCTCGGCTTTGATCTCCTTGTAGCGCTGCTCGTTTGCGAGGTAGTCCGGGTCGAACTTGAACACGTCTGGGGGGGGAGGGGATGGGGGGATGCGGGAAGAGGGGTACGCGGAGGGGGAAAAGGCGAGAAGCGGAGTGGAGGGAAAGGGGGAGCGTATCAAGCTTTGATGTCCTTGTAGCGCTGCTCGTTGGCCAGATAGTCCGGGTGGGGCGAGAGGTACTTGAACACGTCCGGTGAGGAAGGGATCGGGAGGGGGGAGAAAGGGGGAAAGGGGGGTGGGGCGGCGACGGAGGGGTGGGAAGAGGGATGTGGGTAAGAAAAGAAACGCAAGGGCCAATGAAGATAAAGGGACGGAAACGGCAGGGGGCTGGGGCAATTAGAGGGGAAAGGCGAAGTGAACAAAGAAAAGCCATCAATTAAGCATGAAGAGAAGTAAGCAAATCAAGATTGGAGGGGGGGTGGGCGCGTGCATAAAGAAGAGAGGAGGACGCGAGGCGAGGGATGGTGCAGACTGACTGGCCAATAACGCAAGACCAACAATCAGGTCCAACCAACCAACCCATACACCACCACCACCCTTGCCCTCTCAATGCAACCCGTCCTCGTTATAAGCTGGCTGCTCACCCAGCAAAGTCTCGGGGTCATACGGCTCCTCCAGTGAGAGCTCGTGTGTGATCTGATCCTCCTCCTCCACCAGATCCAGCTCGGGGAGAACTGCTGGGAAGCCCTGAAAGGGGAAAAAGCATGGTGGTGTGTGAGAGGGTCGGAGATCACGAGGTGAGCATGCGTCAGGTGGGGCGCGTGAGTAAGAGCTCGTGTGTGATCTGATCCTCCTCCTCCACCAGGTCGAGCTCGGGCAGCACTGCTGGGAAGCCCTGAGAGGGTAAGAGACATGGGGAAGAGGGGCGGGAAAAGAGGTGAGAAATTCTCACTGAGAATGGGGCCAATAGGGTCTGATCCTCCTCTTTTCACCAATACGATCAAGAAATCGTGGGTGATCTGATCCTCCCCCTCCACCAGGTCCAGCTCGGGCAGCACTGCTGGGAAGCCCTGCAATGAGAGGGAGAGGAGAGCATGGTGGGTGGGTGGGAGATGAAGAGGTGAGCACGACTCAAGTGGGGCGAGTGACTAAGAGCTCACTGCGTGATCTGATCCTCCTCCTCCACCAAGTCGAGCTCGGGGAGCACTGCTGGGAAGCCCTGAGAGGGAGGGCAGGGGGGAAGAGGAGAACATGGTGGGAGGGGGATCACGAGGTGAAAACGGGACCAGTGGGGCGAGAGGTTGCCAGCTAGTGGGTGATCTGATCCGATCCTCCTCCTCTACCAGGTCCAGCTCGGGGAGCAGCGCTGGGAAGCCCTGCAAGAGGGAAGGAACGTGGTGGGTGGATAGGGTGGGACAAAGTGAGAAAGACATGCCTCGGGTGAGAAATTGAGAGCTCGTGGGTGATCTGATCCTCCTCCACCAGGTTGATTTTGGAGAGCACTGCGGGGAAGCCCTGGGAGGGGAAGGGAGAGACAGCGGGTTCGCAGGGGAGGCGAGATCTGCACAGAGGAGTGCAGGGAAAACGCACAAATACACGCTAGCACACAACATCGCGCGTGCACCTCCCATACACAAACACCACCCCCCCCCTCCCATCGCGCGTGGGTGGGTGCACACACCGATAACCCCCCCTTACTTCCCTCCCCCACCCCCACACAGTACACACACCTCGAACTTGGCCTTGCGAATGGCGAAGAGCCCCTCGATGGTGAACTGCACACACAGCATCACCCGTGCCACCACCCATACACTCCCCATGCCCCCTCACCAACCACGCACCTCGAACTTGGCCTTGCGGATGGCAAAGAGCCCCTCGACGGTGAACTGCACTCGCATCCATATCCCATACTCCCCCCATCCCCCCATCCCCCCAAGCACCTCGAACTTGGCCTTGCGGATGGCAAAGAGCCCCTCGATGGTGAACTGCACGCGCTTGTCGATCTCCCCCTCGTGCAGGATGCCGCGAAACCGCTCGAATATGCCTGGGGGTTGAGTGGTGGGGGCAAGGGGAAGGGGAGGAGGAAAGAGCCCTTTAATGGTGCACTGTACGAGCTTGTCGATCTCCCCCTTGTGCAGGATGCCGCAGAAGCGCTCAAATATGCCTGGGGGTGGGGGGTTGAAAGGGAAAACAGAAAGGGAGGCAGGACGTGCAGCGATGCATCAGTGCGTGCACCACTCAGTCGGCGGGGAGCATGCATTATCAGTTCGCATCCACTTTCGAGTCGACTCAAAAGTCAACCCACTCAGTTGGCAGGGAGGGAGCACGCATTATCAGTTCGCATCCACTTTCGAGTCGACTCAAAAGTCAACCCACTCAGTTGGCAGGGAGGGAGCACGCATTATCAGTTCGCATCCACTTTTGAGTCGACTCAAAAGTCAACCCACTCAGTTGGCAGGGAGGGAGCACGCATTATCAGTTCGCATCCACTTTTGAGTCGACTCAAAAGTCAACCCACTCAGTTGGCAGGGAGGGAGCACGCATTATCAGTTCGCATCCACTTTTGAGTCGACTCAAAAATCAACCCACTCAGTTGGCAGGAAGGGAGCACGCATTATCAGTTCGCATCCACTTTTGAGTCGACTCAAAAGTCAACCCACTCAGTTGGCAGGGAGGGAGCACGCATTATCAGTTCGCATCCACATACGCTGCACAGCACAGCACAGGAGCATTGGGACGGAGCTTATCGGTTCCATGGCTCTTGTGCAGCGTGTGTGGACGCGGGCGCGTAAAATTCAACACAAAAGGTGGTTGATTGAAGGGGGGAAGCGGGTGGTGGCAAATGTACGCTGGGCAGAAGATTGATGGGATGGGAGGGCTGAAACGGCACGAGGCAACTTGACACTCCCTGTGGAGGCCGGGTCACAGGGCTCGCCCAAGATTAATCCCAAGCCTAAGCCAAGAGCACTCACTGTGGAGGCTGGCCGCAACTCGCTGGGCTCTTCCCAGCCTAATCCCAAGCCTAAGGCACGAGCACTCACTGTGGAGGCTGGCCGGAACTCGCTGGGTTCACCCAACCCAACCTAATCCCAACCCCAGCCTAAGGCAAGAGCACTCACTGTGGAGGCCCTGGGGCGAGAGGTCTTGCAGCATGGCGCCACACTCCTTCACGAAGCTCACTGCCACCTGGTTGGGAGTGGTTGGGGGTGGTTGGGAGTGGAAAGGGCACACGCATGTGTGAATGATTGGGGGATGGGATGGAGGGGGAGGGGGGAGGGGAGCGGGGGTTGAACAGACGGAGGTCCTGCAGCATGGCGCGACAATCCTTCACGAAACTCACTGCCATCAGGGTGGGAGTGGTTGCAAGCAGCTGGATGGTTGAGAGTGACTGGGAGTACAAGCCCCCTGCAGCATGGCCGTGCAATCCTTACGCCATACCACCTCCCCCAGTCATCATCACCTCCCCCAGTCATCATCACCTCCCCCAGTCATCATCACCTCCCCCAGTCATCATCACCTCCCCCAGTCATCATCACCTCCCCCAGTCATCATCACCTCCCCCAGTCATCATCACCTCCCCCAGTCATCATCACCTCCCCCAGTCATCATCACCTCCCCCAGTCATCATCACCTCCCCCAGTCATCATCACCTCCCCAAATCATCATCACCTCCCCCAGTCATCATCACCTCCCCCAGTCATCACCTCAACGCTATCATCAGTGGGCGTCTCCAGCAGCAGTGTGAGCAGCTCGAGCGCCCAGCCCAACCCGCTGCAGTGGAGCGCTTCACCAAATACTACCTCCCCCAGACCCCACCTCCTCACCTCGACGCTGTCGTCAGTGGGCGTCTCCAGCAGCAGCGTCAGCAGCTCGAGCGCCACTATCCACATTTTGATGTCCACCAAATACCACCTCCCTCAGGCCTCACCTCGACACTGTCATCCGTAGGCGTCTCCAGCAGCAGTGTGAGCAGCTCAAGAGCAACAATCTCGTGAGCCACCTGCTGGTTGACCAGGTGCGCCAGGAAGCGACACGCCGCCACCAGCACCGGCTGCAGGAGAGAGAGGGGGAGGAGTGGTGGTGGGAAGTGGGGGCGCGGGGATGGGAGATGGTTGAAGCGTCAAGGGGATGGAGAGACAGTGAGAAGAGAGACTGGAAGTCACATGGAGTGCCACCTAGTGGTTACCTGCTGGTTACCTGCTGGTTACCTGCTGGTTACCTGCTGGTTACCACGTACGGTAAAGAGGCGGGAGGCGAGCAGGATGGCGAGCGAAACGTCGCACCTCGCAGATGTGTAACCGTCACGTGCCCCATCTCCCCTCACCGGCGAGTTCCCGGCCTACAGGACAAGGAGGGCACTTTTCCCCATTCACATCTCACCTTGTCGTTGCGCCGAAACGCCCTCCTGAACTGCAGAATGATCCTCTTCAGCAGCAGCTCGCCCAGCTCGGGAAACTTGGTGTTCACCACCGCAACTAGCCTGCCATCGTGTCCACCGTTCCCCCTCACCTACTCCCTTCCACTTCCTCCCTCCCTCCCCTCTCACCTTGTCATTGCGCCGGAAGGCCCTCCTGAACTGCAGAATGATCCTCTTCAGCAGCAGCTCCCCCAGCTCGGGAAACTTGGTGTTCACCACGGCCACCAGCGCCGCAAACACGTGCGTGAAAATCGGACCGGCCATCTGCGACTTGATGCACGCGCTCTATCCTCCAGGCGCCTCCCAAAGAGCGGCAAAACATGTTTTGCCATCAACTCTCACCTTGTCGTTGCGCCGAAACGCCCGCCTGAACTGCAGTATAATCCTCTTCAGCAGCAGCTCGCCCAGCTCCGGGAACTTGGTATTCACCACCGCCACGAGCGCCGCAAACACGTGCGTGAAGGTCGGACTCGCCATCTGGGACTTGATGCACGCGCGGCACAGCAACCCTCTCCCCCGCACCAGGTTCTCCCCAAACAGCTCCGGAATGATGTTCTTGATGTTGCTGGCGTTGACTTTGTTGACCAGCCCGTTGATGGACTTGCGCAGCGCGTCCCACGTGAGGCGCTGGTACTCCGCGCTGCTGCGGTCGTTCACCTCCTGCAGCATGCGCGCCAGCTTGAACGGCGGGATGTACGCGCCTCCCGTGCGCCCTGTGTCCCGCGCTGCTGCTGCCTTGCCTGCTGCCGGACCTGCGCCTGGGCCTGCTGCTCCGCCAGCAGCGGCAGCAGCGGCGGGGGCAGGAGTGGCGGCAGCATCAGCATTGGGTGCGCGCACGGGAGCCCCCCGCCCGTCGCCCCGCCTCTCCTCTCCCTCCCACTCGCCCCTCCCCCTCTCTCGCCGCCCCTCCTCTCGCCTGCCTTCCTCATGCCTCCTGTGCCTATCTTCCCTTCCTCTCCCCCTTACCCCCCCCTCTCCCTCTCTCGCTCCCTCTCCCACTCGCCGCTGCTCTCACTCCCATCCGAATCGGACCCTCCCCGCCTGTGCCGGCCCGACCTGCCCCTCCCCCTCCTGCCGTCTCGCTCCCTCTCCCTCTCCATCTCGCCATCCCATCGCCTATCCCTGCCACCATCATCCTCTCTCTCCCTTCGCCTCCCATCCACGTCATCCCTTCCTCGTCCCCTCTCGCTCTCCCTGCCCCTCCCGCCGTCCCTGACCCTAATCACATCTCGCTCGCGCTCACCTTCCCCCAAGCCATCCCTCGCCCTCATCTGATCTCTCTCCCTCCTCCCCTCACCCTTATCACGCTCCTCCCGCTCCTCGCTCTCCGCGCGACCCCCGCGCCTCCCCTCCTCCCCGCGCTTCTCCTTCCGCCCAACCCGCACCCTCTCCATCAGAAAATTGTCGAACTGCCTAAAACTGGGTGATGAGTACTTAGCTTTTTTTTTAGGGTTGCCGAGTGCCCTGTAATTGGCCGTTTACTCTAGGGAAGGGTTGTGAGTTCAGACGCGGGGGTAAACTGGCGGTTGTTGTCTGTTGTGGCTGATTTTCGTGATTATCTTGGATCGCGACTTTCAGGGGAAAACGAGCAGGTTTTAGGCTGGAAGAACATGGCAGTTTACTGGCGGGAACCTGACGATGCCTGACGGGGAGGCTCGATCAGGTAGAGAGCTGCAGAATGCTGCAGATTACGCCAGACTAAACTGCACGGGTCAATCTCGATCTTCATGTGCAAACAACTTTGCTTTGCCACGTCATCTGATGGCGTTTGTTCATCTGGTTCTAGTTTCGCGATATCATGTGAATCCACTCTAAGAATTGAAAAGATTTTATTTACAATATGTTTTTAAATACGATTTGTAATGTTTGTGAAACTTTTTGGTTGGAAGAGAAACCATAATATATTAGGACAGCAAAACTACACGCAATTGTAGGGCAGGGACAAATGCAATCAGCTCCATTTTTATCAATTACAGAAACAACTAAGTTATTCAGAGAAGGATAAATTCACATTTCGCCACCGCATCATGCCAAATTCAGGTATTCCGATCAATTACCTTGCCATATGAACTTGTTTGAGCTCGTTCGCACAACTACGCAGCACGTGACGCTTGTTTGTGTGTTCGATGGTTTGAAACTGCGCGAGGATAGGCCAGTACGCAACATGTTACAGTTTCATCGTCTGGTTGTCCTTTTTAGCACCATTTCTCCACACATTCGGGTATTTCAATCAATTACTTTGCCATAGGAACTGGTTTTAGTTCATTCGCACAACTACGCAGCACGTGACGCTTGTTTGTGTGTTTGATGGCCTGAAATTGTGCAAGGATATGCGAGTACGCAACATATCACAGTTTTATCATCTGGCTGCCATGTTTTCCATTTTTCCACACATTCAGGTAATTTATTCAATTACCTTGCCGTAGGAACTGGTTTGAGTTAATTCGCACAACTACGCAGCACGTGACGCTTGTTTGTGCGTTCGATGGCCTGAAACTGGGTTTAGGGTAGGCCAGTACGCAACATGTCACCGTTTCATCGTCTGGCTGTCTTTTTTAGCACCATTTCTTCACACATTCAGGTAGTTCATTAAATTACCTTGCCATAGGAACTGGTTTGAGTTAATTTGCACAACTACGCAACACGTGACGTTTGTTTGTGCGCTTGCTGGCCTGAATCTGTGCAAGGATAGGCCTGTGCGCAACATGTCAGCTCGCGAACGTCAGGATGCATTTTTGAGCACTATTCTTCACACTGTTCCCTACTACATCCTATTACCTAGCCATAAGAACTGGTTTGACCTCATTCACACAACTACGCAGCACGTGGCGCATGTTTGTGCGTTTGCTGGCCTGAATCTGTGCAAGGATAGGCCTGTGCGCAACATGTCAGCTCGCCAACGTCTGGATGCTTTTTTTAGCACTATTTCTTCACACAGTTCTCTACTACATCCTATTTTCTAGCCATAGGAACTGGTTTGACCTCGTTCGCACAACTACGCAGCACGTGGCGCATGTTTGTGCGTTTGCTGGCCTGAATCTGTGCAAGGATAGGCCTGTGCGCAACATGTCAGCTCGCCAACGTCTGGATGCCTTTTTTTGTCAGAATCTAGCAGCAGGAATGAATGAACTAGCAGCATGCAGGAGTACAAGTAGTAAACCCTAATTGGGCTGTACCCCATATGGGCTACCCCACTACAGCCTAGACAATATCCAGCATATATGTTTGACACACCCCCATAGGCAAAGTGGGGGAGAACAAGGGGTCAAACGACCAGTCAAGAGAAGCAAAGCAAGCTCAGGGTGGATCTCAACGTCACCACACATTCTGAGCACAAGCAAAGGGCCACAAGGCCAGTCCACATGCAGAGATATATATGCAACAATAACAGTACAGTGATGACTACCTAGCAAGAGCAGGCATGCATGTATATATATAGATCACAGTACAAGCAGAAACTACAGCAAGTGTGGAAGCGTAGGCACAAGGCCTAACAGGGTACAAAAGCGCTGATGATCACCAGACGGAAGTGCCTTGGTGAATATATCAGCAGTGTTGGCCCGAGTGGCCACGTGACGAAGACGAAGCTGGCCTCGCTGCTGCAACTCTCGAGCCAGGAAGTAACGCAGAGCAATGTGCTTCGTTCTGTGCTCCAGTCTGTGCTCCTCACACAAGGCAATGGCGGCCTTGTTGTCGACGTACAACACTGGAGGAGAACGAGGCTGCTCTCCCAGGTCAGTCAGCAGGTAGGTGAGCCAGCGTAACTCCTGTGCAGCCATGGCTGTGGCGTAGATCTCAGCCTCACAACTGGAGCTGAGAACTGAAGACGAGCGTGTAGAACGCCACGAAACTGAACCAGAGCCAAGGTTGAAGGTGTAACCCTGTGACGACCGCTGAGTAGCCTGGTCGTCAACCCAGGAAGCGTCTGAGTGCCCAGTGAGGACAACTGGGCTCGTCCCTCCAAGCACTAGCCCCATGCCTGATGTGCTGCACAAGTAGCGCAGTACCCTCTTAGCAGCAGCCATGTGCTCAGGTCGGTGCCGACCAGGAGCCACGTAGCGAGCCAGAAGACCAAGAGGGTACGCGAGGTCAGGTCGAGTGCAAGTCATCAGGTACATGAGGCAGCCGACTAGCTCTGGGTAAGGACCACTCGGCTCTACGGACTCGTCCGAAGGTGGAGCTGAGAGCGTGTGACCTGTAGCCAGAGGAGTGGCCTGTGCTGAAGACCAGGTGAAGCCGAAGCGCTGAAGGACCTGCTGCACCATGTGTGACTGAGTCAAGGTGATGGTGCGGCGTGCTCGGTCCCGGGTGATCTGCAAGCCAAGGTAGCTGCGCAGCTCACCCAAGTCTGTGCACGTGTGTCTCTTCTGCAGCTCCGACTTCACATGGGCGAGAGCCTCAGTGTCAGCAGTGGCAAAAACCAAGTCGTCGACGTACACGAGGATGTAGAACGGCGGCAGTGAAGTGTCGGTGCGCAGAAACAGCGACGGGTCAGCAGTAGAAGGCGCAAACCCAAGAGCCGCAAGCGTAGTCCTCAGTGTGTCGTGCCACTCACGTGGTGCCTGGCGGAGACCGTAGACCGGCCGCCGGAGGCTCCACTGGGTGCCAGGAGGGAACGACCCAGTGAAGCCCGGGGGGCGGCGCAGCCAGATCTCCTCGTGCAGGCTGCCCTGTAAGAAAGCTGTGCTGAAGTCAAGAGAGTGAAGCTCGTAGTCACGGTGAGCAGCAACATGCAGCAGCACCCGAAGAGTGGTCATCTTCGGGGTGGGGGAGAAGGTCTGGAAGAAGTCAACTCCCTCTCGCTGACTGAAGCCTCGAGCCACGTAACGCGCCTTGAAGACAGGCGGAGAACCCGGCGGCCGCTTCACCCTGAAAATCCACATGCCACTGACGATGTTCGCCCCAGGTGGGGGAACCTCGTCGACATAGGTGCCTGTGGACTTCCAGGAAGCCATCTCTGCGTCCATGGCTGCCTGCCACTGAGAGGAGTAGGGACCCTCTATCGCCTCTGCGTAAGAGCGCGGAGTCGGGATGTCTGGTGCATCCGGGTCTCCCTCAGGGGCAAGTAGCGAGGACACAAGATGAGGTAAAGCAGCAGCGAGACACTGGAACTCCTCCTGCCTGTCCTCAAGGACGTCCGTGCTAAGAGCACACTCACCCCCGACGGACGGAGGACAGACAGACTCAGACTCAGTAACAAGACTGGCAGTGAAGTCTAGACGACAGGCAGCAGCAAAGTCAACAAGCTCAGCGACAAGAGCAGACGCAGCAGCAGACTCAAACGACGGGTCAGTGACAACTGTGGCTAGTAGACGCGTGACAGTAGGGTGCTCAGCACGAAACCGGTCAGACGCAGGGTCCGGAACGTCAGGCAACGAGGACGCAGGAGGAGACGGCAGAGGAACAGGCTGCGGAGCAGAGGAAGGACGACGGACTACGAGGTGTGCGCTGGGGACAGCCGGCTGACGCGAACGAGGAACACGACGACCGGTACGACTAGGACGAACAGGCGAAACAGGACGCGACGCAGGCTCACGACGCTCAGCAGGACTACCAGTCTGCACAGTGTAAGGAGAAGGAGCAGGCAGCGGTGAGCCGGGCTGTAACGGAAGACCAGTAGACGACGGGAGAGTAAGAACCTGACGAAGAACAGAGTCAGACGGCGGCAGAGACGACGGAGACGGCGGAGCGAAGAACCGTCGTGTCGGCGCAGCTGCACCAGGAGCGGCAGCTCCAGCAGCTCGAGTGCCTCCAGCAGCTCCAGTACCTCCAGCAGCTCCAGAAGCTCCAGTCCCAGAGCCGACACCTCCAGCCCCAGGGTCTCCAACCTCTGTGTCTCCAGCAGCAGCACCCCCAGAACCAGCACCTCCAGTCCCAGGGTCTCCAGCCTCAGTGTCTCCAGCAGCAGCACCCCCAGAACCAGCACCTCCAGTCCCAGGGTCTCCACCCTCTGTGTCTCCAGCAGCAGCACCCCCAGAACCAGCACCTCCAGTCCCAGGGTCTCCAGCCTCAGTGTCTCCAGCAGCAGCACCCCCAGAGCCAGCACCTCCAGTCCCAGGGTCTCCACCCTCTGTGTCTCCAGCAGCAGCACCCCCAGAACCAGCACCTCCAGTCCCAGGGTCTCCAGCCTCAGTGTCTCCAGCAGCAGCACCCCCAGAGCCAGCACCTCCAGTCCCAGGGTCTCCAGCCGCAGTGTCTCCAGTACGAGCACCTCCAGAACCAGCGACTCCAGCACCTCCAGTAGACAAAGGTCCAGCACCACTCCTAGCTCCAGCAGCGCGACGCGGACGGCGACCGTACCAGTCCTGCAGCTGCTGTGGGGTGAGAGGCACACGTGGACGAAGGCGGCTACTCCAAGGAGACCGCGCAACAGCAGACTCAGAACCCTCAGCGC